ATTCTTACGTAATGAGATTTTATTTAAATGTTTTAAACAAAAAAGCTGTTAGAACTGAACTGTTAGAAACGATTCCTGCCGCCGAGTTCCGTCATCGGACGACACGACAGACCGCCAGGTACCATCCACACCACCTGGATGGCTGGCATTCCACAACGGTGCGATTCTCGCGCAATTTCTTGCCTCTCACAGCCGCGTTGTGGAACGGTATTTCCAAACCAATACGACTTAGGGACCTTCAAGAAGCGAGCATACCATTTCCTGAAAGGCAGGCAACGCATCTGCAGTTCCTCTGATGTTGCAGATGTCCATGGATGTCGTTGATCACCTCGGTGTTCCCGCCGCTCGTTTGCTCCCTTCTCTTATAAAAAAAAATATTAAACTTAATCAAACTTTTAAACAAGTTTAGTATTATTTCAAACATAAACACGATGAAAATGATTTCAATACTATTTTTTCATAAAATATTTATGATATAAGACTATGGACACGATTTAATATAAAGTTGTAAACCAAAAGCATATTAAAGCAAACACTTATTAATAAAGTTAGTAAAGTTCTTATAAAAATAAACTATTAACAGGTCTCTGAAACACTTTTACAATTATTAAAAAGTAATTTTATACTATAAAAAAAATTTACAACCATGACAGTCAAATAAAAATACATAAAAGCAATCACTATGATTATATTTAATTTAATTATAGCGCAATTTTTTTTTATTAAGGCAGAACGGTAACAGCATAATATTTAGTATCACATAATTTAATATTATTTATACATTTCTTTAACCAATTTTTAGTAACATGTCTAACATCGGACGGGCATTTATTTTTTAATTTTTGCATTTTTCTAAATTCAATGCAATCTTCATTATGTACAAGATAATCGACATTTGGTGATTTAATTGACTTAACAACAATTCCTCCATACGCAATCCAATGTCTTTCAAAATATTTTCTTTCATCTTCCGGAATACTTATAAAGTCTGGATAAAAACCTATTTTTTTATCTAAAAATGCATCCGGTAATGGATTATTTGGTAGTAATTGGAATTTTATTTCACTTGATTTCGTGTCATCTAAAGTGGAAGAGTCACTGTTTTCTATTGATGAATTTAAATTATTAGATTTTCTTTTCTTCGGTGAACCTTTATTGGTAAGAAATTTGTCAATCTTTGTCACACCATTTAAGGGTTTCTTATCTTTTACTCTAACCGGTGATACTTTAGATGGACTGACTTTAAATTTCTTTTCCGGAGGTTCATCATTTGCAGTTTCAGCAAGTTTATTTAATAATGATACATCTGTTTTTTCTTTGGACGTTTTGTAAAGTTCTTTCAATTCATTTAAATTAGTTGCCGTTTTCCAATCTTTGTCATCTCTTATTCTTGTCACTCTTGGAAATCTCACTGAAATGCCGTCAGCTGTATGTAAGTTTGCTTTAGTTAATTCTGTCCCTGTAAAATAAACAAACAAAACATGAAAATTGTAAATTAAAAAAGTTAATGACCAAAACATAAAGTATGGATTTACAATAAAAAAAGTATTAGTTCAAGAAATTTTATTTATTTTTGTGTATCAAATCTTACTCATATTATAAGTACTAATTTTTAGATGGATGGATGGATGTTTGAAGGTATCTCCAGAATGGTTGAATGGATCTCGGTTAAATTTGGCATAGATATAGAACATAGTCTGGCAGCACACATAAGCCACTAAGTTTTTTGTTATTAGGCGCGGATGGAGTCACGGACGACAACTAGTATATACATAAAAAATCATACTATCTTATTAATTATAAATACGAATATTTGGATACTTGGATGGATGTTTGTTGTATGGATCTCACTGAAATTTGTCTTAGATATAGAACATGGTCTCAAAGAAAACATAGGCCACTAATTTACTTTTGTTATTCCGCAGGCTAGCCAGTATTAAATAAATTACAAACCAGTTATTTCCCAAACAGGTTGATTCTTTGGATCTTTGGCGATAAAATCTGGCACCATTCCTTTGTTACAATCTAACCAAGTGGGAAGTTTCGTGTATTCCTGTGATATTTTTACCATTAACGGGGCAAGTTCTTTTTGTAATCTCTCCAATGTGGGATCATCATGCCCTGTATGAACTTTAGTTACAGTAACCCAACGATTCCGTCGAGTATCTAAACAACCCATAAGGAAAACTGACATCATTCCACCTTTTTTACCAGTACCTAGAAATTAAACAAAATAGTTGTTAACAATATTTCTGTTTTAAACGTTAAACAGATATTACTCCTGTCATAAACAAATAGCAAATATTCTTTTATATTTATTTATATTTTATGGGTTGTAACAAAAATTAAAAATAAAATGCAAATTGTATTTTGATGGGCCAATTAGATTAAAAAAACATGCATAACATATAAAATAAATAATTAACTATAAGTAAAACTCACCAAACCAAGCCCCAAGTACAACCAAATCTGCGGTATCAGCCATTGCTCCATCAAACAAATAATCTTTCTTTACTTTTAGCCAATGTCTTTTACCAGGTTCATATATTGACTCCAGGTCTTTTAAAACAAGACCTTCTAAGCCTAGTTGTAGAACCTGAAATTAATAACACACATTTGTTAATTTTTAAACTCTTAATCTAAGAGACAAAGTTCAGAATTAAGACGTAAATTTACATTTTTTATAACTTGGCTTTACATTAACTAATTTCTTAAAAATAGCATATTAATTGTTATTTGATTTGAAATGTACCTTTGCAATCATTTTTGCTAAGTCTGCTGGTTTTTTTATTAATTCTTGTTCGGAAAACATAACATGATTTTTCACTTCAACCATGTTATCAAGAAGAATTTGTCTTCTTTTTACAATAGGCAAATCCATTAAAATATCCCCATTGTAATAAAGACAATCAAACACATAAAGACAAACTTCAGCATCTTTAAATGCGGACTGTTTATGTATACCCAATGTACCAAATGGTAAAGGTTTGCCAGTGTTCACATCAACCAACAAAACCTCTGCATCTAGTACTAAGTCAACTCCCTCAGGAAACGCTTTAGGTAGATATTCCTTGAAATGATTGACTTTATGAGCCATAACGGGTTTTAAAGCTCGAGAAAAATATTTGAATTCAGAACCTCTCTTATGAACTTGCACTCTCTCTCCATCATATTTTATTTCCGAGAACATTCCATTTGGACATTTCTTCATAGCCATCTCTACAGACTTACATGCTTCAGCTAACATAGGTAATACTGGAGTCATGAGAACTAGTTTTGCTTGCATTGACTTGTGGATCGCATCTTTATGTTTTATTTTATCATTTTGAGATAGAACACGGTCTAAAACCATATCTAAATCTCTTGATGTTTGAAATACTTGGTATGCATCAGGATGTATCCCTTCCAGAATATGTTTTGGTCCTGCATTTATTCTTAAATCACCTTTTATTAAACGGATTAACATTGTCATGTCATCTAGATGACATTTTTTTACAATTTTTTTAAATTGATATATTTGTTCATCTTCTCTTGTCAATTTTGAAAGATCCTCAAGGAATTCTTCAACCTGCTGGATAGTAAGTGTGCTGTCACTGGCCGGTTGCACAATTTTAGATTTAGAAAAGAAGTACTGAATTGTATTTGCAACATCTCCCTGTTCCAAATGAGTCAACATATCATCATGATCCATACGAAATATCCTGGAAAATAACTTAACTAACTGTTTACTTTTAAGGTTATATACTCTTTTACATACTTGAGGCAGTAGTAACTTACACCATAGAGGTAAATCCCCTTTAAAATGGTCTCCGTCACAACCTCTTGTGAAAAATCTGTTTACAACTGCTGTTTTCTCAGTATACGCATCGACTTTAGATATTCTTTTGCATAAATGTACGAATTCCGAAAACATATTGTCTTGAATATTTTGTACACAACCACTTTTGTTGAAATCACCTTGTTCAAATGTATCACTATTCAATTTGATTAGGGGTTTTGACTCATTTTTTATCACTTTCGCAATATATTTACCGTCATGTTTTTCAGCGAAAAGTTTTTCGGTTTCGTTTATTTTTTTCAATAAGAAACTTTGATCTTCTGCAGACAAGTTCTGCCAATTTCCAATATCATCTATTGAATCAATTCGTTTTGTTGTAGGGCGTTGCTTTAAAAGTATATTCATAAAACAATCCACATGATGCCATGATTTCATCGGTTGATTTTCATTATAAGGACTAGGAACTAATTTTGCAATGCGCAATTCACCATTTGGGCAGTTACTCTTGCAGGATTTGCACGAAGCCCGACCACCTTTAGCTCGGTCAACGTAAAACGGTGTATACGTATCACCCATATCTAAAACACACAAATTTTCAAAATGTATTCATTTGAATTTCACAAGTAACAAAATATTTTTCTATAAATACTATTGTTTTGAACTCAAAACTTGACATTTCAAAACACGAAAATGACAGCAACAGCAAACACAGAGTATAAAATCTATGGTAGTTTCGTGGCGTGACATGTCACTATAAATCAGTCTAAAAACTTTACCGATTAGGATTCGAGTCTATTCAATAAAATTAAAATGATCTCTTCGAAACCTTAATACGCTTCCATGAGAAACACACTAACACACATACTTATGAGAGTCAATTAATACACTATTTGACCTTAATTTAACGTTGTATTTTAACATCTTTAGATTTACTACGCAGTTCGCTTTATACCTACACGAATGACACTAACAATTATTTTACTGCAAGGCATTGGCGTAATTTTCAAGCATGCGCACTCTTACCTTCACGGATTACGTATTCAAGTTAATAGAATTATGTAGGTATGTCTACAAAGTTATTCTTTTTACCGAGCAGGAAAATTTAGTGGAACATGGAACATTGAAATAATCGAATACATTATTAATGTTATAACATTGAATTTAAGATTATTATAATAAACTCAAGTAGTAAGGTAATATTTTTTATTTTTTTTACTTTCAGCATCTTCGTGTCATCAGGAGTTTAGCAGCGACGGTACCAAACATGGAACACTCACATCGCCGCACTACCCACTGGCATATCCACCGAACACACATTGTCACTATGAATTCTTCGGAAGAGGAAAGGAAAGGGTTAGGTTGATATTTCATGACTTCTACTTGCACAAACCAGCGGATGGATCATTGGAGTAAGTTTCATATCGCCACAGTCTTTCTTATAAGATTATACTTAATTAGATAAAAGTGTAGAAAGGAATTGAGCACCGTTCGATATATTGTGAAGCTCCCGTGGATCTAGACAACTGGCTAGCTAAAATCTTTTGTTATTTGTTTTTTCAGCTGTGCAAATGTGGATTCACTCCAAGCATTCGTCAACGTTGATGGACGATTAGAAAAGGTGGAAGCATTCTGTGGAACGGATCTGCCCAAGCCTGTTATGTCTAACGGACCTAAATTGATGCTGGAATTTCGCGGTACCCAATCGTCAAGACACTCGAGGGGTTTTAAAATATCGTATTCGTTTGTAGAAAGTAAGTATTTGAATGCATATTAAACGTTAAGATAACGCTCAAAGAGAAAATATTAAAATTCTTTGATAAGTTTCCGAAGGGAAAACATACATTCTCATGTATCAGGGTGTCCAAGTTATCCAATCTCTATCGGAATAGACTATTCCCTATATGTGTATTTAATTAAGTAACATCCGAGTGCTTTGTCAGCAACAATCTAATTAGTTCGGAAATGAACATTGAATATTTAAACACCGAAGCGGCCACAGTGGCCACATTTAATATGTAACGCTTACGTGGATGATGTGTATGTCATGTATACATTTAAATAGATATACTACCTAATTTCTAATATCTTTTATAGTTGCTTTGTTCTTACTTCTAATTAAGATATAGTTAGATAAAAGGATTTAATTTTAATCAATATTTTCTATACGATACGATTGGAGGCAGTTTAAACATTTTTTTACTAATATACTTTCAGATTTCGGGATCACGACTGGCAGACAGTTGAAGGAATTTCCTTGCGCTTTTGTGTACAATAGCACAGAAAGCCATAACGGTACTTTCGCGTCTCCGAACTGGCCTGGACCGTACCCACGTGATACTGAATGCACGTATTTCTTTCACGGAGGTCAAACTGAGAAGGTGCATCTCTATTTCACGAATTTTGGTGTCGAAGGTGTTCTACCGTAAGTCCTTTTATGCAGTTTTACCACTTTTATACATCCACATTTTTTAATAATAAGTGTTAAAATTATTTATAAGTAAGTTACATGTTTCTGATACTTCAAACAAGTTCTTGATTACAAACCAACGTAACATGTTATTTAACTGGGGTTGTTGGCACTATAGTTAAACTAACAAATGCTAAATCTCTATTGATTTATTCATTCTTTTCTTCAATGTCTATACTCTCTTCTGGATTAAAATTCCAATAAATTCCAATAAATTTCCAATTCAATAAATTAAAAAAACACCTTCACGTTCCAGATGCGAAGCCGTATCTGGTAGTGACTACGTCGAGTTCTCTAACTACATGACAGAAGACAGCAGATTTGGGCGCTACTGCGGCCAGATGAAAGAATTCCACGTGGAGTCCGACAGGAACTTCTTCAAGGTCACCTTTCGCTCCAACGACAGGCTCGATGGAACAGGCTTTAAAGCGATGTATCAATTCCTAGAAGTCACCGATGAGTATCGAGCTCCATTACAAGATAAAGCATCGGTTCTTGCAAGTAAGTTTTTTATGAAACATTGCTAATTAATAAACCGTCCAAATAATGCCAAATGATACTGATGATGTGGTCGAAAGATGATATATGCTAGCGTAGTAAATACCTGTTGTTAGAGTTTTGTTTGAGTTTTAATTACTCACCTTTCTTGTGAATGAAGAAGAGGTAGGTTTCCGATATACTCGTAAGTTGGAATATTGTCAAAATTATGCTATGCAACTAGTAAAAGGCCTACAAATCATGTATATATTAAAATTAGACTACTTTTTGAAGATTCTAATCAACTAATAACAAACGATGAACTCTAATGTGTTTAAACTTATATAAAAACGGCTAAAACTCACCTCACCGACTAGTTTCGAGCCCATCGGGGTCCTTCATCAGGGTGAGTGGGACTGGTATTATTTCGCGTGTGCGGTAGCGCCACCGGACGGCGGACGCCGACCGGACTTGAATATTTAGCCGTTTTTATATAAGTTTATTATAATGTTTCAGGAATGTTTGAATAATCTAATGTGTTTTATAATAAATTGTAATGTTTTTTTTTATATTTCCAGATGTTCCAGAATTTCTGCTCATCATCAGCGCTATCGCGTCGCATCTCCACTGTTTATATCATTAAATAAAGTGATATTAGAATAATTACTACTATTAGACTATTAATCCTGTACATTTTGTAACATAGTATGTGCCGTACTCTTGTAATTTAAACGTAGGAACGCAATATTTTCTAAATAAAAATATATTTAAGTTTTCCTCTATTACCAAATAAAGCAATATTACACAATAAAACTTTACTCACGCGGGCACGTTGTATTATAAATAAATTATATTAAAATTTGTTTTTGTTTTATTTATCTTACTAGCCGTCACCCGCGACTCCGTCCGCGCGGGATTAAAAATAGATGTTGGCCGATTCTCAGACCTACTCAATATGCTCACAAAATTCCATGAGAATCGGTCAAGCCGTTTCGGAGGAGTATGGGAACGAAAATTGTGACACGAGAATTTTATATATAAGATTTTATAATAGCAGGAAGGACCAAGAACCGAGACCGGTGTACCAGGACCGCATAAAATGAAAAACTATAATCTCTCCTTAACCTTGTGAGTGGTAGGCGTAAGTTTAATATTACGAATTAAAACACAGGTACTATAACATGGAGACATTTTATATGGAGTATATTATCATTGTAACAATAAGCAGCGGACAAGTAACATATAAATCAAACCAAGTCATGTACTGCGTTATAAAATATGCGAACTTATTAATGTGAGGAGTATACCAAGTAAAATCACATTTTAGATAAAAAAAAAATTAATAATACTGATACTTTTATTATTTAACACAATTTCCATAAAATTGCCGCATTTTTCATGAATATAAGGCAAAGCCGGCGAAAAGTGTAGAATTTACTTAAGGTTTTGGAGCGCGATAGTCTTTCTTACTAAACGCAATCCAACTAAATTATAGAAAGGATTGATTTAGAATAAAAAAACGATTCAGAACTTATTAGATACAGTCAGAGATTGAGTGTTTGTTTAATTTGTAGAAATATCATCATCAGCTCACTTTACGGACTTGGGGGCTAACTAAAGTTAGAGATGACTCGGCCCAGTCAACCGCACTGGCCTAGTGCGGGTTGGTTCACTTCACACATATCTTTAATTTTTTGCAGATATATGCAGGCTGCATCGTTATATTGTCTTTCAAAGTAAGAATGTAGGATAAACATGATATTCATGAACAGATATGGCGGGATTCGAACCCAGGACCAGCAGATTATAAACCAAGTAACCGTTGAGCCACCGACGCTCTCCGTGTCGAAATATAGGTAGTAATAATCATGGTAGATATAACAATAAGGATGATACAGTAGCATTTTTACAAAAATCAGTTAATTAAGGAATACAGTAAATTGTCTGCGACATTTGAGTCTTGTCCGGTTCGGCCAAGCTCTGTATTGCGTTACCTGAGAAACAAAATGTTCATTCGCCTCATTGGCTGTTTGCAGTTGTTGGCCGTATGCGGACAGGTGTGGCGGCGCTACTAGTGCGTTTGTAGTCTGTGCTGTTCTCGCCTCCTGTACCCCCACCTCACCTCTCTGTCCCGCATACGTCAGTTCGGTTACGTTCGCCGTTCGATTGGGTTGTTGTTGCGTCTTTTTTTACGATAAACGCGCGAACTTTTTACGTTTAAAAGTTTTATGGTGACATTTGAATTGAGTTTATTGTAATTTTGTGTTGCTTTTGTGGAACCGTTGTTCGCATATAACTGGTGATAAAGGTGTGTTGTCACTGTGTTTAGTGATCTCAGGTGTCGCATTCCACGGACGCGGTAAAGCTTCTGTGTACCCACACGGGGAACAGGTGGAGTGTTTAAAGGATCTATTTACATATGTAAGTAGTTTTGCCTATCTGTTTTATTATAATTATAGCTTCCACATATTTATTTTGTTATTCCATTTTCCTTTTTTGGACTCGATCACATATTGTTTAAATCAAATAACATTGTAAGATAAACTAATACTGGGGCAATTGAAAGGTTCTAATACGTTTCCCTGCTATCGAATTTCTGAATAATTATTATTTCAAACCTCATTTATGTTAATTAATACTGGCCTAACATGAAACTTTGAAAATGTAATGCACAGAAGCTTTAAATTTGTTGATTCGTACCAATAAGGAAATGGTCGCATCAAACGTTCGGGCAATACCTTATCTTTACTTTTAAGCTAATTGCTTTTCCGTGATTTTTCCTCGCCGCAATATCTGTAGACATGTACGAACCTTAAACTGATATCTATCAATCTATTGAAAAAAAAAACGAATTGCTTGCGTAGTGAAAACGCACGACTAAATAGTTCATTCTTAAATATTTTTTACCTTACGTAGTCGGACACGCTTCGAAGTCATTGAATATAAATATTCGTATTATTATAAAATATACATTTTACCGATGATGCAGATTTATTTATTTTTACCGCTGTCATTTGTTTTTTTTTTAAATCATTATGCATATTCGATAGTTACCTACTATTCTATTTATTGAACGATTAGATCGGAAATATTTACATATGTTTGCATTTTTAAACGGAAGTAGGTATTCGTAAATATTATTTTGTAGTATTAAAGTATGAAAGCATTAATTATTTCTTCTAACCAAGGTTACTTAGATATTTGTATATGGTATAAGTTTTTCATTCTATGTTTTTTTTTATTTCGTGGATAAGTAAAAAGTCTTAATGGATAGATTATTGAATCACACAAGTTTTAAACAACATTGTACACACAACGCAACGTTTTTTGTTGCCGTAATTACCATATATCGGCATATAATTGCTTTAAAAAGGTAATTCTTGACTTGGTAATGTCAAAAATGTTGACAATCTCCTTGACATAAGTTAACTAATAAACCCTGTCATGTCCCTGTGCTTGTCAGTGAGACTCGTATTAGCATCCTGTAGGTTGAATAATTAGGATGAGTAAAGTAGAAAAAATGACGTTCCAAAATATTTGTTCTTTTATCCTAACGTCTGTTCTTGTTTGTATTGTAAAGTAATGTATGGATTATATCTTTTTTTAAACTTTTTTAATCTTTAAAAGTAAAAATTAATATTTTTTATGAAATTTTAATTCTCTTAAATTATCATTGTACGTAATATTAAGGTTTTTTATTTCTTAGCTTGAGAAGAGACTTGATATTATTTGCGAATATAATCGATTCGAATTTAATCAACCTTGAAGTTCATAGAATTACTTTGACATTGTACCTGTCTATTTTGTTTGGAAGTTGTCTGGATTTACTTTCAAGGTTTTATATTGAATTCCTATTATTATATTTACATAGAATTATTGTGTTTGAGATTTTATAAGCTGCGGTAGATTGCGGTTTAATATCTTTTAATTTTTGGATTAACACAACTATTGATTGTTATTTGTTTTTGATACTTGTAAAGTTTTTAAAACGTATTATATGGGCCCGTAACAATATCTTTTGAATACTTAATAGACTATTTATATCAAGTTACACGCATCCCACCTGTGTCAAGACAATCAACATCTTGTCACAGTATTGTTCACATGTCCTTGCTCTGTATATCAGACATTAGCAACGCAAATTCATACAACAGTCAATGTAGTGTGTTCGATACTGACTTAAAAATAAGCATAACATTTATAAATGTTATGCTTATTTTTATCGATTCTCAAATTAATTCACGTGGTCGTGATGTATAGATGTATTTTTGTCAGTCTTTTTATTATTTCTATAGAATCGAATATATTCCACCTATCGAACTGTCATCGAGGCCGACAAAGTTTTTTACGCTGGTCAATAAGTCAAACTGAATTATATCAGCTCACTAGCGCCCTCCTGTCATTGTCAAAAAGTGTCAGAAAATTCTTTTGTTGCTTGTTGTACAGTACCAGTCTTGTTATTTTTTATCTTGTTTATATGTATGTTTCTGTATGTTTCCTGGCAGAACTCATCGCGATAGTAGTGCCTCCCTTACCGCCCCAGATAACCTTTCACTATATATTGTTATGACAAGCTTACGACCTGTCATTTGACGAAAATGTTTTGACATAAAACAAAGTTGTTCGCAAATTTAATTCTATACCTATATATATTATTTTGAAATGCACATTATGGAACTTAGAATGTAACAGTCAGATAAATATGCACCGCAGTAGCGAGGTATTGTGACAATGCGAATAATTTATGTAATAAATTATATCTGATACGGATCTAAAACTTTAGCCTTTCACGGATTGTAAGCCTCGTGTCTTTTGTATGCTTGAAGGGCTGTATTTATCTAATGTGGTCTTTGTCCAAGCGCAAAGGAGGCGTAGTCACAAACGTGTGCTTATTTTGTACAGAGGCCACGTTCTCTGGATGACAAATTGGATGATTAGTACTAAATCACGACCGCTGCACGTTCAATGCGTTCCACTTTCTTACAAGGTGAGACGTTTTGTTCGGATTTGAAGTCTTATTGTATCGATTCGTGAGTAGTTTTTGTGTCACAATTGAGATACAAGCAACGATTACGTAATCAATTGAATAGCAATTTTATACGCTGATTTATGTTAATTTTGGTGACTGTCTTTGACCCTTTCACATTTTTTGTACCCTTATTATTTTTTATTACTAAAGTAAGTAAGGTAATATTACTAATATTATAAATGCGAATGTTTGTATGGATTGATGTTTGTCTGAAAATATTGCCAGAACGGCTGCATGAAATATTCTGAAATTTGACATAGATGTGGTACATAATCTGAAAGAATATAGGCTACTAAGTATTTTTTTCATTCTGCGCGGACGGACTCGCGGGCGACAGCTAGTATCATAATGATACATTGATGAGAAATTGAATGCAGTCTTGTTGCATTGCTCAAATTTTCGATATTTCGCATTATCGTGCAGTTACCTACAACAAAAGGGTTTTTGCGTCTAGACATTCAACAAACAAGAGATGGGGGTATCGAATTATGCTAATTCAGGGTAATTCAAACAGCTCACTGAATGTGAATGCATATTGTAAAACAGTTTTTTTTTGTACAAACATTATCATCATCATCAGCTCACTATACGTCCCCACCGAGGGGCTCGGAGCCTACCCTAAGCTGAGGGTGATTAGGCCATAGTCAACCACGCTGGCCAAGTGCGGGTTGGTTGACTTCACACATATCTTTGAATTTCTTCTCAGATATGTGCAGTTTGCATCACGATGTTTTCCTTCACCGTAAGAACGTCGGATAAATGTATATATGTAAATCGAAAATCGAAAAACACATTGGTACATGGCGGGATTCGAACCCAGGACCTGCAGATTGCAAGTCAAGTGCTTGACCACTGAGCCATCGACGCTCACAAACATTATAAAAACAGTATATTTTGATCAAAAGTAAATTTAATTGTTTTCATCGCTTTTTAGATTTAGAAAAGATACACGCATATGTAAATTCAAGTTATTAGTCAAATCTTACTTCTTAAATATTATAAATACGAATGTTTAGACGGATAGATGGATATTTGTTTGAAGGTATCTCCAGAACGAGTGGACGGATCTCAATTAAATTTGGCATACATATAGAACATCGTCTGGAAGAAGACATAGGCTATTATGTTTTTTTAATTCCGACAGCTGGTTACATACACCATTAAGGACAATTATAATTCTACGAGTAGTGTACGTAAGATCCATCGGTGACATATTTGTACTCATGCCAATTCCTTAGTATTCACCGATAATATTACAAGCTTACTTTAATACTTAGTATGCATTATGCAGGCACGAATGAGGTAACAGACGACATTTACAGTGACAGTTCTGATATGAGATGCCTGAAACGAATTGTTAAATAGTTTGATGACAATGATATTCTGATTAAATTACCAATAAATGGACCAAAATCTCACTATCATATAGGTATCAGGACTTCTGTCACTTAAATCTGGTCTGGTGATAGCTTTATGATTATTCTATTGCTAATGTACGTAACAATAGGTACAAGCAACAATAGCATATGTTTTAAGGATTACCAATGAAATAGTACCTGATCTGACCACAAAGAGAGCCTGTCGGATTGAAGTAAAAACAATTGTACATTTCGTCTGATGAACTAACAGGAAGGGGAGAAACGTAGTAACAGGAAGTATTCGTTTTCTGTGCGTCCCTTTCTCCGTCTATTGAAGGTAGGCAACAATTCACATTAAACGTATTGTTATCTCTTACTTTATTTCCGAATAACGCAAGATATATGTTTATAAATGAAAAATCAAGGCGTATTATTATGGTTGAAATTAGTTTCGTGCCGCGCAGTAGCTTGTGAAATTACGATAACGAGCCGTAAGATCGACAAGACCCCTTGGTTCAAGGTCAAAGTGCAAACGCTGTACTGAGCAGGTATTTGTCTTTAATCTAAGCTATTAATCCTAAGTAGCACAGAAGGCGTGTCGTTTATAAACGTGTGAATGTTTTGCTCGTCACATTTTGAAGTTAAAGAAATCAAATTTGGAATGTTTGGTACATTTTAAAAGCATTTCATATTCGAATTATATTAGTCGACCTTCGTAGAAGTCTATAAGATTACATTTTCGACATGCACTAAAGCGCAGTCTGATCCCAAACAGTGGCTGTTTAATTCCATCTGATAGAATTACCAATTCAAAATTACGGTGAGGCGAATAGTGGTGCGCTTTTGAATTTAAACTTGGCACGACGTCTAAGCATTGTGTTTGCTATTTACTTACGGTCCGGCGCTGCAAACTGGATTCTCCGTAAACCATAGAGATTATTACGTTTAGTTTCTTCGTCAAACTAACAGTTTCAGACTAAGATTTACGTAAAATAGTGTCCGTTTTACTTTTATATACCAACTAGCGCAACTCCGTCCGCGCGGAATTATAAAAAAAAACTAACTCGTAGCTTATGAGCTCTTCAAGACTATGTTCTATACGTGTGCCAAATTTCATCAAGATCCGTTCAGCCATTCTGGAGATACCTTTAAACAAACATCCATCCATCTAAACATTCGAACTTATAATATGTGTAAAATGTTGACAGCCGTGTTTGACAAGCATGTAAGCGATGATTTAAGATTGCCGTGGAATGAAAAGAATCGTGCAAAATGGAAATCGTTAGCCTGCCCAACAACAAACTTGCGCTAAAGATAAAATTAACAAGGGATTACATTAACGTGGAATATTACCAGATTATTGTTGATATTAAATATTATTTTAATGGCGATAAATCAAGTTTGTAACATGTTCGCGTGTTCTCGTGACCACCTTAAAAGCTCGGCCACTGGCGTAGTTTCAATCGCGATGTATAGATCTGCTTTGGGATAAATTATTTTCGACTTATAGGGCAATAATAGGTGAGTTTCTGAGCGCATTCGTCAGCAGTTATGAAATGATGTCTTATCTAGTACCGTCAATTAAATTTCCTTTATTGCTTATAATCTATTTTCTATTTTATTGTTTCGGTTTTAGGGTTCATTTTATGTTGAAGTGTTTCTTGTTTTGTTATCACATTTATGGGATTGCTGTCACATCATTAAATTGAGACTGCGATATAAAAAATTCTAACAATATTAAAGTATAAAAAGATCAATAAATCAAGAATACGTGTGATTTTCTTATGTCTTAGCGATAAGTGACTTGTTCTGTTTGTTTCTACGCATTCTAGTGTTATTTCTTTTTAATAAATTGCATATAAATTTGTCATACATTAAATAATATTTTAAAAGTATTCGCTACATTAGTAGAATTGTATGTTTCATATATTAAAGCATATGAGACGTGTCATTTAAGTTCAAATTATATTGCTAAGGATGGAATGCAAGCCGAGATAGTTGTCGGCCTCAACACCAAGCGAGGACGTTAAGTGGCGTGGACATACTTTTACTTCGTATCTTTGTTTGATATGCGATATCAGTTACTCAAGAATTATTGTTACAGTAGTATTAGCTATTCCATGATATCTAAGGTAAGGGACTGGACTCTCCAATGAGTCAGTCTTTTGCCTTGTGAAAAGACCAATTCCAGCCTTAGAGCGCCGATTGACTTCTGGAATTTCGGTGGATTAATGCTAAGGGTAAATATTTTTTAAGCAAGGTTTATAAGGTGTATTCTTTATAAGTGTGTTTTCGGCGCTGTCTTCCGAAACACAGTTTTAACTAGCTTAGGAGACAGAGTCCCAACAATTTTGTGAAAAGTGTTTTTTTTTTTAATTAAGTGTTTTTTTTAATTCAATTTACCCGGACATCTAAGCGTTAAAGTACTGGCTTTAAGTAGCGAGCTGTTAATCTGTATAGGAGTTTCATAATCTTACCTGATTGGATTATGGGCGTGTGTGCATTACTTTTTGTTAGTGCCAAACAGAAATTCACGAAGCAAAGTTGTGATGTCTATCTAAATAGAAGGTAAGGGTACGTTTTGTTCCTTTCTTTAATTTAGTAACTTGCTTTTACATACGTCTCTACTGAGAATGCGAATATGTCATTTAAATTATAGTAAATCTTTAAGTCATATTATTTAATTTATCAGTAACAGTGGCTACATCGCCAGCGATTCCTTCCGCGCGGTATTAAAAAAAATAGTAGCCTATGTGTTCTTTGAGACTTTGTTCTACAAATGTGATAAATTTCAGAGATATCGAGTAAGAAGATAGATTAGAGTTTGTATACCTAACTAGCTGTCGCCCACGACTCCGTCCGCGCCTAATTTAAATTTTATATGGGAAAAAGGACTGTTTTTAGGGTTTTCCCGACAGTTATTCGAATTTTTCTCATCTTTTTAACCTTCCCTAGACCTCCACGAACATTTCAAGACTAAGATAAGATAAATCCATTCTCAAGTTTAAGCGAGAGTAATAAACAGAAATTTTTTTTATATTATAAATATAAATAAATTCACAATTTTATGGATTACATAGTTCACAATTTGACAATATTACTTTAAATTGATGTAGTTATTTACTCATACAGGTCAAATCAAAGTGATGAGTATTTAAAACAGATGTTCTTGTCTATACAACTTTAGTAACTTTTACTATATCTACTGAACTAAATAAAATGCCCTGTAACATCCTAACTCGTTGAACAAGTTTGGTAGGAAATTGATAATGATGTATGCAAATTTATGTAAATTGGTAAATAACGGTAAGTTAATGATTGAATGAATATAATGAACCACTTGTCGGATATATGTTTTGCTTGTATATGTATTTTAATTATGGGAATATGATAGTTTAGTAATATAATGGTTTGATAGAATATTTAATAACATGTTGATATAATTAATGGTGTGTAATATTTTATGTATGTGTAAGCGTAAATTTCCACTGTCGTAACACACATGGATATAGCTATCTCTCTTTTTTCTATGAAAATGCAATACATGTGCACAACCGTGCGGTTTGCGCGAAACTTCCTGTCTCGCACAGCAGCGTTGTGGAATGATCTGTCCTCGGAGGTATTTCCAAACCGCTACGACTTAGGGTCCTTCAAGAAGCGAGCTTATCACTATCTCAAAGGCCGGCAACGCATCTGCGGTTCCTCTGGTATTGCTGATGTCCATGGGCGTCCTTGAACACCTCGGTGGTCCCGGTGCTCGTCTTCCCCCTTCTGTTATTAAAAAAAAAACATGTATTATAACAGTGGAGACAGACCGTGACTATTTTTTGCAGATAATCAACATCCATCTTAAGTAGGCGATCTATTTTAAGTATAGTACTAATAAAAGTTTTGAAAGTGTCTTATTAATCATTTGATTTTAAATATTTTTTGTACATGTTATTGCTTATATAAAAACCTTCAGTGTTGACTATCAATAGAAGTAGAGATTTCTATTATGATACTGAATCTTTTGTAAGGAGGTTTCCTTTCGTAACTTGAGCACGACAATAATAACAAAGGATTTAAAAGCTATTGTATATTTTTTATATCTTTTGGCATAAAAATACAGAATAAAGTCACTTTTATTAACAATTATTAAGTATTGAAAGTTATGACATTTTTAATAAAATACTTAGTTTTATTTGTATTTAAAAGTCGTATTTCTTGTACTTATTATACTATTACTTGTTCTTGTTTATATTCGTTTTTACACAAAGACCACCCTTTTGACTATTTTGTCATTTATTTTTCTTTTTATACTCTAATACTACTAAAAATGCAAAGAAATGCGGTGAAAATAGGATTTGCTAATCTTAAGGGCTTAGTGCCACAAACCACATTGTGCTGTTCCTTATAGGCGCCATCCATAAATACTCATCTTGTTTAGTGTTAGCTCTAACATACTACTAAGTAACTTTTACTTGTTAAGCAACCTCAAACCCTCTTAGCCGCAGACGTGTGAAAATTCTTTACACCCATAGTCGAGTTTTTATAGCAGGAATGTTCGTGAGTTATGCTAATTTACAAGAGGGCGCAACAGTTAGGTAGAGCAGGACGGTGCAGTATTACTGTTTAAACACACAATTACAGTCAACACTGTATATGCGTTGTTACGCGTTTAAACAATAGCCGTACTGCAATGTATTTGTCTACTTCTGTCCTCGTGTGAAACTGGCATAATGTTTATGACAAAAAACTCTAACATTAACAATGTGGATCGGAAACTATGATTATGAACGCTATGCGATTGTGTTTTATTGCATCGTGTTTTGTCTTAACACTATGAACATTTATGACGCTATTATATCTTGTCTACAGGTTGTTCTAAGTTTCTCAAAGTACGTACTTTAGCTATGAAGTAGTTGTAAGTCGTTTCAGCTATATAATAAAACTGTGAATGTTAGTGTAAGTTCTTTAATGAGTAATATTTTCTCTATTAAGCGCTTTTAAGTTATTTACAAAGGATTTAACTATTTCTTGAAACATTTTTAATATTTTTTCCAGTGTAAATATCAAAATGCTATACATATAAGTATCGTCATAGTTAGCGACTTTTCAACAACAAAAGTAAAACAAAAATATAACGATTATGGTGTACAAAGATTAATGGACCAGTTACAAAGTATCAACATTCTCGTTCAACAACTTTTTGCATTACTAATAGTTCTGATTTACATGCTATTGCAGCATCAATACTCTACACAGACAAGCCTACAGGCAAAATAAATGAATTGTTCATCATAAGATAATTACTTTATACAAGAGAAAGTAAGTCATCACTGTCAAAGTCAACATTTTTGAAATAAATTAATCAAGATGCAACTTAAATGTTTCATCTTTACCGCCATAGAAAAGACATCAACGAGTTGTCAACGACAAAAACAATTTATTGTATGAGTTACACGAAACTAATATCTTAGTTAAAGTGATTTGTAAATAGTAATAAAATCGTAGTTGTATGACTAACCATGTTATATCGCCTTTTTATCCATACATTGTATGACAGAATCTTAGTATGATTTTTTTTTACATTTTGTCAGTATAGATGACTCGTTTATATTAAAATAGTCTCATTAAAAACGTTATTTTAAATAAACCTTTACTTCGTATACTATTAAAGTTATTGGTTATGTTGGTCAAATCATTTAAATGTTTTATAATTACGGAAACTAAGACAAAAGTAATAACGTAATTTGCAGGTGTCTTTTCTAACGGAACATCTCAATTATGCTTTTATATTCACCGGAGTACGACGACGAAATCAATTAACAATTGCTGTCGTGAAACAGTGTTCATTTTACAGCTCAATGGACGGGAACGTAACGTCATAGTGGCGTCGTTCCAAAAATAAAATGGGGAATTTCTAGACATAATAAAATCTCAAGTTTCGAAGCGTGGGATTTGATCTTGTCAAGCGTCAAGAAAGCTTTTACGATTTGTGAAGAAAAAATTGACATTGACGT